ATGATTTATTTATTTTTTACTCAATTAATATTTTTACATTTGGGTTTACAATGAGGTTTTTTTGCCCACAATGTATTAGTTGTAAATTCATTACACCCACACCTTTGCACAAAGTTATACATCTAGCTGAATTCTGCAATGACAAGACACACAGTTAGGTATGGCAACTTAATAATGTGTGCATCTGGACCGGGTGACACATTATCTATTGACGCAGCAACCACTGTAAGTTATATTCTTGTTTAATTAGACTTCTCTGTTTCATTTATTCTACTCTGTATAATTGTTCTGTAGTTATTGTAGCTAAAACGGCGCTTTTGAGAGATTTTAAATCTCAGATCTGCTCAGGCGAAACCTGCTACACAAGTCTCAGCACTCAAGCCTGCATTACAATATAGGCAGGGCCGGTCTACTGATTGCGCGAAGTACAACAGCGTGACTCAGTCATCTTTCACCTAAAAAAGCATTTAAATACCGCATTTAAAATCTGATGAACTCAGTGTGCATCTGGACCGGGTGACACATTACCTATTGACGCAGCAACCACTGTAAGTTATATTCTTGTTTAATTAGACTTCTCTGTTTCATTTATTCTACTCTGTATAATTGTTCTGTAGTTATTGTAGCTAAAACGGCGCTTTTGAGAGATTTTAAATCTCAGATCTGCTCAGGCGAAACCTGCTACACAGGTCTCAGCACTCAAGCCTGCATTACAATATAGGCAGGGCCGGTCTACTGTCGCCCATCAGCTGTAGATAGTTAACTAATTAGAGGGGCGTGGCCCTACAGCTGTGAGAACTCAGCAATCAGGCCTCCATTTTAGGTAGCTCTTTCCTGGAGCGTCAGCTTAAGCGTCAGACAGCCGAAGACTGACAAAGACATTGGAGTCCTGCGGGAGTAAGACTGACAAAGACATTAGAGTCCTACGGGAGTCACGAGGGAGGCAAAGAGGAGGCAAATCCTACTCTGATTGAGCTGGTGTCTTATTTCTCTTTTCCTTAGTTTTCTAGCCCCTCATGCTATAATCATGTGTATTTTCTCCATTCCTGTTCATGTGTCTTCTCGCAATTGTCACTGGCCCCGTGTATCTCCTAATCGCTATAACCGGCCTGCTCTCATATATCCCACATGCTCCACTGAGATACAACATCTAGTTTCAGGTGGCCTGTGGAATTGCCAGTCAGCTGTTCCTAAGGCTGACTTCATCTCTGGCTACGCCTCCCTGCAATCTCTGGATTTCCTTGCTCTCACTGAGACCTGGATTACTCCATCCAACACATCCACCCCAGCAGCTCTCTCCACTGCATATTCCTTCTCCCATACACCCAGACCAACTGGCAGAGGAGGTGGCACTGGGCTCCTGCTCTCTCCCAAATGGAGCTTTTCCCTCTTCAAGCTACCTAACTTCACTCCTTCCACCTTTGAATTCCATGCCGTCACAGTAACCCATCCTATACAGTTAACCATTGTTGTTCTCTACCGTCCACCAGGCGCCTTGGGGGACTTCTTGGAGGAATTAGATAATCTCCTCTCACTCATCCCTGAAACTGGCCCTCCCGCTGTACTTCTCTGAGACTTCAACCTCCAGACAGGGAAGATAGACGAACTAACATCTATGTTAACCGCCTTTGCTTTCTCACTGTCTCCGTCCCCACCAACTCATAAAGCTGGCAATGTCCTTGATCTCATATTCTCAAGGAACTGCGCTAGTTCTAACCTCTCTGTAAACCCGCTCCACACATCCGATCACTTCTTCATTTCATTCTCTCTACCCCTTTCCAAACATAACAAACTAATCTCTTCTCATCCTGCACTTGTCCGCCGTAACCTTCGTTCCCTCTCCCCCTCAACCTTTGCCTCATCGGTGCTCTCAGCCCTCCCTTCCTCTGACTCGTTCCAACTCCTGCCTCCAAACTCTGCTGCAGAAACTCTCCTCTCTACTCTCTCATCCACTCTGGACTCTCTCTGTCCTCCCACATCTCGGCAGGCTCGTCAGTCCCCTCCTGCTCCCTGGCTAAATGATGCACTGCGTGCTAATAGAACCGTCCTTAGGGCAGCAGAGCGGAAACGGTGGAAATCCAAACACCGTAACAACCTCCTAACCTATCAGGCTCTCCTCTCCTCTTTCTCTGCTTCGATCTCTCAGGCAAAAAGCACTTTCTTTCAAGATAAGATCCAATCTTCCTATTCCAATCCCAAAAAACTATTTTCCATCTTCTCCACCCTCTTGGACCCTCCAAAAGCCCCTCCCCCTCCTCACTTCTGTCAAGCGACTTTGTTACCCACTTTGAAAAAAAGGTTGATGATATTCGCTCTTCTTTTTCTGACTCACTTTTACTCACCGCTGGGTCACCAGACCCTCCTTTCACCCACACACTAACCTCCTTTTCCCCTCTCTCTCCAAGTGAGGTTCTTACCCTCATTACCTCTGCCCGCCCTACCACCTGTCCTCTGGACCCTATCCCTTCAAACCTCCTTCAGACTATCGCTCCTGATATTCTACCGTTTCTCACCCATTTCATCAACACTTCTCTAACTTCTGGTCACTTTCCAAACAGTCTCAAGGAGGCAAGAGTAAACCCTCTCCTAAAGAAACCCACTCTCAACCCGTCTGATGTTATAAACTACAGGCCTGTCTCTCTCCTCCCGTTCCTGTCTAAATCACTTGAACGCGCTGTCTTTAAACAACTCTCCTGTTATCTCAATCAGAACAACCTTCTGGATCCGCACCAGTCTGGTTTCAAGGCAGGTCACTCCACAGAAACTGCTCTCATTGCTGTGACTGATGAACTGCACACTGCCAAAACTGCATCCCTCTCCTCTGTCATCATCCTGTTGGATCTGTCTGCTGCATTTGACACGGTGAATCATCAGATCCTCCTTCGCACTCTCCAAAAACTTGGAGTTTCAGGCTCTGCACTTTCCCTCCTCACCTCATACCTGAAAGACCGTACCTACAGGGTGACTTGGAGAGGGTCTGAGTCCGACCCTTGTCAATTAACTACAGGGGTCCCTCAGGGCTCTGTTCTTGGTCCCCTTCTCTTCTCCCTGTACACAAACTCGCTCGGATCAGTCATTACCCCGCATGGTTTTTCATACCACTGCTACGCTGACGACACCCAATTAATTCTGTCCTTTCCCCGCTCAGAGACCCAGGTCGTCGCACGCATCTCTGCTTGTCTAGCTGACATCTCTCAGTGGATGTCTGCTCATCACCTCAAGCTCAACCTTGACAAGACTGAGCTGCTCTTCCTTCCGGGAAAAGATTGTCCCACTCTTGACCTAACAATCAACATCGGCACCTCAGTTGTTTCCCCGACTCAGACTGCAAGGAATTTGGGTGTGACCCTAGATAACAACCTGTCCTTCACTGCAAACATCGCTGCTACAACCCGCTGCTGCAGATACACGCTTTACAACATCAGGAGGATACGTCCCCAGCTGAGACAGAAAGCGACGCAGGTTCTGGTCCAGGCTCTCGTCATCTCACGCCTAAACTACTGCAACTCCCTCCTGGCTGGTCTACCTGCATGTGCCATCCGACCTCTGCAGCTCATCCAGAATGCAGCGGCTCGTCTGGTCTTCAACCTTCCTAAATTTTCCCACACCACTCCGCTCCCTTCACTGGATTCCGGTAACTGCTAGAATCCACTTCAAGACACTGGTACTTGCTTACCATGCTGCGAATGGATCTGGCCCTTCCTACATCCAGGACATGGTTAAACCGTACACCCCAGCGCGTGCACTACGCTCTGCATCAGCCAAACGACTCGCTGCACCCTCGCTGCGAGGGGGACCCAAGTTCCCATCAGCAAAAACACGTGGGTTTGCTATCCTGGCTCCAAGATGGTGGAATGAGCTCCCCATTGACATCAGGACAGCAGATAGCTTGCACATCTTCCGGCGCAAACTGAAAACTCATCTCTTTCGACTCCACTTCGAGCGATAGAACTATTAACAAAGCACTTATATACTAATAAAGGACTGGCTTATCTAAAGCCAGTTGAGTAGCACTTGAAATGTTTGGCTCTATGAAACCTGATATACTTATATGATTCTGTTTTCTTCAAGGTTGTGTCTTCCTTGTCGAATGTACTTATTGTAAGTCGCTTTGGATAAAAGCGTCAGCTAAATGCAATGTAATGTAATATAAAGTTAGCTTCTCATTAAATCATGCTCAGGGGCGGTTCTAGGGGGGGGGGGGCCATATCTCTCGATATGGACATAAACGCGAGTGAAGTCTAATCTGACAGGACGGAGACACATCTCAAACTACCTAAACTAGTTATAAATATGTTTATTTTTACGGTCGGCCGGGTCACTCATTACTGGATCAGCTGCTGAATGAAACCGACACTGACGCTGTCCGAAGAGAGGGAGGAAAAAGAGAGGCTCCGTGTATTTTATTATATAGAGTCGTTATTCATTAGTTTTAAAGCTCAATTAAGACATTTGACCAGCACTTTTATAATTTTGTCGGATGATTTAAACTTTAATACACGTTGACTGGCGAAAAACTCTGCCCGGTTCCCTCGGCCCCCACCGCGGAGAATAAACAGAAGGGCAACCATGACAACCAACGCTGCTTTTGTGGAGGAAGTTACAGCGCCACGTACAGGCTCCTGCATATGTACTGCAGTTTCTTCAGTGGTTGGAGCTAAACGGAGCCGTCTCGTGTGGACAGACACTATCCGGATGACTATTGCGTGTGGACGGAAGCTTTGTTGCGTTTGCGTTAATCCTATGCGTTTAGCTGTTTTCGTCCTCGTTTGGCCGGGGCATTAATGTGAATAATATTTTTGGGAAATTGACACATCACAGGGAAAAAAACACCTTTGAAAACAGACCTGGAAATGTTCCCAAAACAAACCATGTATTGCAACCAGATGTGTGCATCTTTGTTTTAGCCAGAAATTAGGTCATCATGATTCAGTAAAACAGCTTAGTTTAAACCGTTTCACACAAAAGGCAAGTCAAACTTAAGAATTTGAGAACTTCAATTAAGTGGTTCAGATACATTGTTTTATTAGCAACATACAATGTGAAATGCAAAGAGACAGGCTCGCACTAAGCTTACGAAACAATAAAACCCAAATTCAGATTGAAGAACCCAGTCAGCGAAATGGATCCATTCCTGTTGGGAGAACAAAGTTTAAAGTAGCCGTTCAGAATAAATGAATATTGAAATATGAAACCCTTACCTTCAGGAATTCACATCTGTGATGGTAAATGGCCCAATGACTGCTTTTTGTACCATTCCATGTTTCTCTGCAAACATATATATTTTAGTACAAGTCAACAAATCAAGTGTAATACAGCAGAAGTTGTGTACATACCTGACGCAACACTCCTCTGCCTCCTTGACTTGCATTTCGATTCACAGCAGTCACAAAGATTGCTCTGGGCCAAGTTGTCCAGCAACTCCCAACTGAGTTCATGAAGATTGGATGAAAAGATAATTAAAATGCATCTCAACTCTTCCAAATAAAGTCTTCACGAAGTTTGAACAGTTATGAATGGGATCCATCTGTATCTTCAGTAGACTGGGCTAAAGCTGAATAAGTCATCTCATGTAAAACAAAGTTACCTACAAGTCAAATTCTGATATATTGAAGTAATATTTTTACCGATGCCCTTTGACAAAGTGGCAGGCTTTCTTAGTGTTGTCAAGACCATTGGGATCCCAAGCCAAAAGTTTGCAGTGGATAAAGACCTGTTGAGTAGAGGGAAAATATAGGAGTCATAAATTAATCTCAGTTTCCACAATCAAACCTTGCATCTGAACAAAAATGTACAATTTAGAAGGCCAATTTACCTCTTCTCCCATGGCAAACTTAAAGGTCTGAAGTGATAGGCGCATCTCCGATGACTTTTGCCTAGGTTCAAATTTTGATTGTGACGACACACTTTCCAAAAGACATCTGTTGGGTTAAAGAAAATTAATTAGCATATTACCAAAACACATTTTTTTAAGTCAATGCTTATTGCCATTAGAGTACCCTTTATTGGAGATTATAGGGTACATGGTGCTTTCAGGGTGCAGCTCTGGTGTGGTAGCTGCTACACATTCCTCAAGAAGCAGCAGCAAGGGCTGATGGGTCTTCTGCACCACACTAGCCATGATGGGGATGATGGAGCCCAGAGGAAAGCTTGTAGATTCAGCGGGGCCTGAGAAGTCGTCTAGGGCAGTAAAAAGGAAAAGAGTCATTAAGTTACAAAAGTCAGGGAGCGCTGCCGTTTGTAGAGTTTCACATGTTGTTTACCCACCATTCATAAGGCCAATGGTAAATTTCAGATCTCCTAGACCGTAGGTTTTAAACACCGGGTCATAGATCTGCTGGCTGGAATACCAGTCTTTGGGCCTGCACAAAATAAAAGCAGAATGTGTACAGAAAATGCTGCCACGTGAAACTGAAAACGTATTTGCGCGAGCCTGTGTACTCACATTTACTTAAAGCTCATTATTAAATGTTACTCCTATGGTAACATCAATGTTTATCTATACAGTCAAATATCACAAATGTTACATTTGTCTCAGTGGACTTCACAGTTTGTACAGAATATCAGTATGACAATACAAAGTCATAAAAGACAGTTGAAAATAAGTAGACATTAACTACTTCCTCCAAAATGCTAAAAACAAGAGTCCTGATACTTAAATGTGTGATGTCCATTTAAAACTATGGGAGCAACTTAATGGACAATGATTTGGGAAAAATGATAACACAGAGTGCACATTGGGGAATGTTCTCAGTAAATGGGTAGATTTTTTGTTGAGAATACTGAACCCATTCATTGTCTATGTAGCAGCTTCAGGCTTTATACCTGATGATAACAAGTTTGTGACGGACTTCATTGGTGGATGGCTTTGAGGGAGAAGCTTATTATCAAATTGAACTTTCCCAGGCCATGGAAATGCCACATTGGAATAATTAGTGAAGGGTCACCCTTTAGCACCTTATGTTGTAGTTGGTATGAACACTAACCTCTCATATGCACAGACAACTGGGTGAGTAAAGGCCAAATTGTAAGAATCATCAGAAGCAACGTAGGTCAGATCATTGCTGTACAGCAGCACATCCCCGGTGACCTGTTAGAGAGACAAAGATGCCCCTGAGAGAGCTGTAGGAAATATCGAAGACTCACAGCTTGCAGGTGTAAAATATATATACACACACCAGTATCCTAAAGTTACAGTCAGTGAGATCCACATAGAAGTAGGCCTCTCCTGCTGAGAAACTGGTTGGGAAACAGCTACCCAGACGGAGAAGCGACGTGTCGGCCTGGGGTCGGCTTTCTGTCCACATCAGCTTCACAAAATCTGGCCTACAGTCCACTTTCACGTCTGCAACACAAATAAATTAGCTTTAGACTCAACTATTTGAGTCAAGGATAATAACATGACTTTAATTGTTTCCAGTCTTACCTGCATATACCGCCATGGCAGCTGCCAAGCTCAGAAGCAGTGCACCTTGACAAAATGAAACCATCATGACTGCATGCTTGCTACTGACACAGTGCATGTTCTTATACCTTGTTCCTGAGAGGCATCAATCAAGATGACGTCTTTCACCTGGTGCCTGTCAGCAGGCCCAGCTGCAGCAGCCAGCACACTGATTACAGCATGGGGAGCATCCAATCACATTAGTCCTTACACCCAATTCATTTTCATTCAGCTTCATCAGCAGCACAAAATTACCATTTGTTAATCAATGTATTATCCTGTCTGACTACCTTCAATTCTTATTTAAAACACTTTAAGGATGATAGTGCATTGGTTGTCTTCCTGAGGCTTTGATTTAGTTTTGCTGTTATATATATTAACATTAATATATGTATACGTTGGGATTCTTTGTTCAACGTTAAGTCATGCAAGAAAAAGTTTTCTTTGAGAACTAAAAGGCGAGTCATTTCGAAACAAATCATTTGGGGGAAGGTAGTGTTCCTTTATCAGATGTCCTGTATTCAAATGTGATATTTTTATATCTGAAATGTTTCAGTTCATTTAAGTTTTATTCAGTGAGAAAATATCCACACACATCTGAATATTAGAGTTGGTGCTATGATGTAATCTTTTAACTGCATAAACACGTGCCATGCAGGCCATCCCTATTGGTTTTATATTCATGGCCAGAAAGTAAACTATGCTACATTCAACTGCAGGCATTAGTGCCTAGAAAATAAATTCAGATCAGAATTGTCTTTTCAAATGAATCTCAACATAAACAATTGCCATAGTTGTAATACCAGACAGATCACTAATAGCTTTTGAATCTGGTGGTGTATGTAATGTCAGAATTTATATCATGTGCAGAGCTCAATGTAAAATGGAAAGTTTAAGAAAAATTCAGGGCTATACTCCAACTCATATGGCCATTACAATTTGTCTGAGGACTTAAAGGTTACATTATAATTGACAGAACTTGACAGTATCTTTCAATGACAAAAGTCACACATAATTAGTAAAATTCTACTGATAGGACAGATGGACACAGTTGAGGAGTTAACAACAGTTTTATTTATACAGACATTATAGACAACTTTAATCTGCATATGGATGTCGTCCACCACTGGGCCCTCTGTTCAGTCTCCCCAATCCTAGACTGGACTTCCTGTTGAGAAATTGTTTAGTAAAGTTAGTCTTATGGCAAGTTTTGAACAAAACTTCAAGACAAATACCATAAATAAATACTCATTAATCTTGGTCAGCAATGGAAACATCTGATGCATTGTGGGTATTTTGTTGCAATGGATCCATTATGATCAGGGGTCCTAACACAGAAGTGTGCCGGAAGCCGTTGGATTCTGAGGTGGAAAACAAAATATATAACTTCAAATTGAAAAAGACTACACTAGATCAAAAAGCATACAAGTTGGCATAAGAGCGATACCCCATTCGTCTCCTCTCTTTGAGCGGGTGTTGCAGGTCCTAGAACAGCAGTCACAAATGGAGCTCTGCATGGGGTCATCCAAGAGTTCCCATCTGAGGAAGCAACAACAGTCAAGGCTCAAATACATCAGCATGGCTTTAAAAAAATAAAATAAATATCAAGTTAATAACATTTGCTAAAAAGGACCAAAAGATACATTTCCATCTACAGTGCAGAAAAAAAGTGAACAGAAAAGCTCAGGGCTTTTTTTAAATGTAGGCCCATCTCATTAGGTTGGCTAATCATTTGAGTGCCACTCCTTTTAAAAAATATTATATTGTTATTCTTAAATATTTTACAATTATCATTTGTCACAATTGTTGTCTATACTTTTTTAGTTAGAGATCATTTGTTCTAGATATATAAAAAGCACAATACTGATCAAAGTACATGCATTAATCTACTTCAAGTTGGATAGGTTATGCTAAAATAAGCTAGCCGCCTTGGCTAATGGTGCATAGTTGTTGCGGATGGAATCAGTTGCATTCATTCTATTACGGCCCGTCCACACTACTGCTTCGACAGCTTCAAAAACGGTTTCCAACGCGTTCTGCCCATTCACTTTGAATGGGGGCGACGTCACTTTTCGCCAAACTGCATTGTGGGAAGCAGAGCGGAGCTTTCCTGGCATTTCAGGCTGCAAAAGTTGAGCAATGTTCAACTTTTGAAGCTTCTGAAGCTTCTGAAGCTTTCGGTGGAAGCGTCAGCCAATCAAATCATATATCAGTACAAGCTCTAGCCAATCAAACCGCTGCTTGTGTGTCAGGGGCGGGAGATTCATGTGATTGGTTGTTGGTCGACCTTCAGACACGCCCAGCTCCAAGCTTTTTTTTAAGCTGTGGTGTGGACGGGCCGTTAAACTTCTGGCAAGAACATGTTCACATACTTCCAACATATCAAACTCTTCCCTGACCTCTCATTTTCCTTTACATAGTGGCAAGCTTTCTTGCTTTCACTTAGAACTTCAGGATCCCATGCGAGCAGTTTGCAGTGAATGTACACCTGAGGAGCAGATGAAACATACATTTTAGCTAGGAACCAAATATTCTTTAGAGCACTTTCCATTTACACCCTCACCTCCTCGCCAAGACCAAACTTGAAGGACTGCAGGTAGAGGGTGATTGCAGAGGACTGGTACCGCTGGAGAAACATGGAGTTTCCCTTCTCACTGTCCAAGAGACACCTGAAGACATTCAGATAAGCGATAAGGACTAAACTCCAGAAAACAATTAAATAAATCAGAGACTGGATCTCACCCCTTATTTGTAATGATGGGGTACACATTGCTGCTAGCCTGCAAATCAGACGTAGTGGCTGCCACACATTCCTCCATGAGCAGCAGCAATGGCTGATGGGACTCCTGCGCCACTGTTGCCCATATTGGCATGAAGGAGCCCAGGGGGATGACATTTGTCTCCGCTACCGCTGTTATTCTTTCTGTAACGGGAAAAGTAAAAACTGCTTAGTTTGCTTTTTTAGAGTGTTTTGCCTTTGGGAGCATGAGCCCTCACCATTTAGGA